CTCTTGTGGGCGGTGTTGAGTTCGATTGGCATTGTCTGCCTCCGCGAGGAAGATCGGGTGGGATCTTGCTTGGTGTGAGATGCGATTCGCTAGAAGTCCGAAGTGTAGTGATGGGCGACTTGGCGGTTAAGTTTCGAGTCAGGTCTAAAGCTGATGGTTTCAACTGGGCTTTGGTCGCGGTATATGGTGCCGCACAACCCGAGCTTAAACCAGAGTTTTTGGCGGACCTTGTTCGAATCTATGGGTCCGAGCAGCTTCCAATTTTAGTTGGGGGTGATTTCAATATCATTAGGAGGAGAGAGGAGAAGAATAATGATAATTTTGACAGCAGGTGGTCATTTATATTCAATACCATTATTGAAAGCTTGGATCTGAGGGAGATAGAGCTTTCTGGTAGAAAGTTTACCTGGGCTAATGCTATGCCAAACCCGACATATGAAAAGCTTGATCGAGTTCTCGCGAGCGTTGAGTGGGAACAGAAGTTCCCTCTCGTAACGGTACAAGCCCTCTCGCGTGGAATATCCGATCACACACCCTTGTTCATGGACTTAGGGGAGCCGAACCACGTGGGAAACAAAAACACCTTTTCCTTTGAGATGGCCTGGTTTGAACGCGAAGGTTTCTTGGACCTGATTGCTAGGGAGTGGGCTAAGGGTGCAGGAGGTAGGACTTCTGTCAAGCGTTGGCAGAATAAGATTAGGTATTTGAGAAGTTTCTTACGGAGGTGGGCTAAGCACCTTAGTGGGGTGTATAAGATTGAAAAGGACAGGCTCCTTTCTCTTATTCAGACCCTAGACTTAAAGGCTGAAGCTATGATTTTGCAACCAGCAGAGCTTCAGGTTAAAATTGAGGCAGAGAAGAGGTTGAAAGAACTTCTCCGCAAAGAAGAATTGAAGTGGGCATTGCGGGCTAAGGTCGTAAAGTTGTCCAGGGGGACGCGAATACTCAATTCTTTCACTTGATTGCTAATGGTAAGCACAGAAAGAAGAGAATCTTTCAGCTTGAACAAGATGAAGGAACTATTTTAGGACAGGACAACCTCAAAACTTATATAACTGAGTATTACAAGCAGTTACTTGGACCTCCGGAGGATAGCTGTGTGTCACTCGATGAGTCCAGGACTAAGGATGTGCCTCAACTATTGGCTGCTGATAATGATATTCTGGTTGCCCCATTCTCAGAGAAGGAGGTGTTTGATGCTATTGCATAGATGAAAAACAGTAAGTCTCCCGGGCCGGATGGATTCCCGGTCGACTTCTACAAAAAGTGCTGGCACATTATTAAGGGGGATTTGTTACCTATGTTTCATGATCTGTTCTCTGGACAGCTTCAATTATTTCACTTGAATTTTGGAACAATCACACTGCTTCCTAAGAAAACGGATGTTGTGAGAATAGAGCAGTTCAGGCCGATCTGCCTTCTCAATGTTAGTCTTAAAATCTTCACCAAGGTCGGGACTAATAGGCTCACACAGATTGCGCATTCTATGGTGCAACGGTCCCAAACTGCTTTCATGCCAGACAGAAACATCCTTGAAGGGTTGGTCGTCCTTCATGAAACGCTCCATGAAATCCATTCAAAGAAATTAGATGGAGTAGTTTTTAAGGTGGATTTCGAGAAAGCGTATGATAAAGTCAAATGGCCATTCCTCCAACAGGCATTGCGTATGAAAGGTTTTGATGAAGCCTGGCGCCGCCAAGTTGAATCGTTTACGCAAAAAGGGAGTGTTGGAATTAAAGTGAATGACGATATTGGTCATTACTTCCAGACACATAAAGGCCTAAGACAAGGAGATCCGATGTCCCCTATCTTGTTTAACATTGTGGTTGATATGTTAGCAATTATGATAGGAAGGGCTAAGGAGAATGGTCAAGTAGGTGGCTTGATACCTCATCTTGTTAATGGAGGTGTATCCATCCTTCAGTACGCTGATGATACAATCATCTTTATGGAGCATGACTTGGTCAAGGCGAGAAATATGAAGCTGGTGTTATGCCTCTTCGAACAATTGACCGGGTTAAAGATTAACTTTGACAAGAGCGAGTTGTTCTGCTTTGGTAGAGCCAAGGATGAACAAGAGGCTTATAGGCAATTGTTTGGGTGCGATTTGGGGGCTTTACCTTTTTCTTACCTAGGTATACCAATCCACCACCGTAAGCTGACAAATAGAGAATGGAAATGCATCGAAGACCGATTTGAAAAGAAACTGAGTTGCTGGAAGGGCAAGCTCATGTCATACGGAGACCGATTAATTTTGATAAATTCGGTGCTCATGAGTATGCCTATGTTTCTCTTGTCGTTCTTTGAAGTCCCAGTTGGAGTCAGGAAAAGACTGGACTTTTATCGATCGCGTTTCTTTTGGCAGGATGATGAACTAAAAAGAAAATACCGCCTAGCCAAATGGTATATCATCTGTAGAGTGAAAGACCAAGGGGGTCTTGGTATTGAGAATCTTGAAGTTAAGAACAGATGCCTTCTCAGTAAGTGGCTGTGGAAGCTGTCCAGTGAGACAGATGCCACGTGGGCGCAAATCCTTCGTAGCAAGTACCTCCAGACCAAAACTTTGTCCCAGGTGACAGTCAGGCCGACCGACTCGCCTTTCTGAAAAGGACTGATGAAAGTCAAACAATCCTTGTTTAATAGGACAAAGTTTATTATTGGCAACGGTGCTAGTACATGTTTCTGAGAGGATACTTGGCTCAGAGAGGCACCCTTGGCCATTCAATACCCGTCTTTATATCGTATTGTTCAACGACGTGAGGTGTTCGTTGCAACGGTATTTCAATCTATCCTCCTTAATATTCAGTTCAGACGGTCGCTAGCGGGCAAAAGTTGCGAAGAATGGCTCCGTCTAGTTAGGAGACTGATGTAGGTTCAGCTTTCTCAACAACCAGATGAATTACGTTGGAAGGTTACTAGGTCTGGAGTATTCACAGTTAAATCAATATATATTGATGTTATCAATTCGAGCTTCATTCCTACCTCCAAGCATGTTTGGGCTGTCAAAGTTCCATTGAAAATAAGGTGTTTATGTGGTTTGTCCATAAACAAGTTATTTTAACCAAGGACAACCTGACAAAACGTAATTGGACAGGACCTACTAGGTGTAGTTTCTGTGATCGGGAGGAGACGATCAACCACCTTTTTCTTGATTGCCCGCTAGCCAAAGTTCTTCGGCGGACGGTCCACATTGCTTTTAATATTACTCCACCGAATTCTGTCAACACGTTATTTGGGACGTGGCTTAATGGGATTGAGCCCGACTTAGCGAGACATATTCGTATAGGAGTATGCGCTTTGTTGTGGACTATCTGGAATTGCAGAAATGATTTGGTTTTTAATAGAACATCACATATTCATTTTTTGCAGGTTATCTTTTGAGCCACGGTATTGATCCGTTCGTGGTCGCTACTCACTCCGATGGAGGCCAGGGAGCATTTGGTTACTGGATCTGTCTGCTGGGAGATGGTAGCTCGGGATATCTTCAACCGGTTTGGATGGCGGTCATGTAATAGGATAGTCAATTAGTTTACCTATCTCTTTTTAGCCAGCCGGTTGTGGTGTCCTTTATTTGGCTAGTTTGTGTTTCTAGCCCATTTTGGCTCTGTGTGAGCTTTCTTTCTCTTTTTCCAGTTGGAAACTTTGAGACTTTGCTGAAACTTATTTGTTTGGTTTAATAAGATGGCCATATGCATCGCTCTGATGCAGAGGCATGGGAGATCCCCCTTTTTGAAAAAAAAATAAATGTCGAATATCATCAACCTAAGCAACTTATTCACTCCTCTGTCGCAATTTATTTGAGTTAGCATTATTATAGTCTGATGTACCCCCTCTGATCCATATCATTTGTCGCAGCTTTAGTACAACTCCATGGGAGGGAGTACTACAATTTAGTTCCAATCGAACAGCTTGCATACTTTGAATTTTGTCCATTAGCAGTCTGACATACAGTTTTCACTTTTAACCTATCAATTCATGTTATTATTGGCCTAAGTAACTTAGTTCTCTTTCGTCAATCAATCGATTGTCAGTACCATGACCAACATTTTATCATCATTTTGGCCATTAGCAGTCTGATGTACAGTTTTCATAGTACTGACGCATTATGTCAACATTTTATCTCCTTTTTTGTGGCAATTTAATAGTGTAGTCTGCTGTGCAGTTTCGCTGGTTCCAACCAATCAATTCCAGTTACACCTTTTTATATTGTACTAACAATGGTGCTTGCATTCTTCGAATCTTTGCACTGCATCACATGTATTTTCATCATAAAAGTCCAGAATTGGGATTATGTATGCAAATTGTTGGATATACTTCCTCCACGGCTGTTTGCGCAGTCTTATTTTTATGTTTTTCATAAAGTAGAGAAGAAAATAAATGTGTGAGTCCCTCCAGCACACCTTTTGATACTGCTTCGAATCCAGTCCAAGGTCTAGACCCCTGCTTTATTCAAAGCAAAAGAAAAAGAAAAGGAAAAGGAGGAAGAAGCTGATAGTTCAATCTTTATTCTTGAAGTAGCTCCAGTCTCAAGCAAAGAACCAGCTACGGATGCTTTGGCCAGAACTAAAGCCAAAGGAAAAACAAAAGCAAGCACGGCATTGCATACCAGCAAGTCGATCGGCAACACTTGCACAACTGTTCCCCGCTATCCTCATTCATTCGTTGCTCCTCCTTCACCTGTCATAAACGTATAAATTGTTTCTTCTGCAACCTCACCATAGATCAGCTCATGAGATGTGCCAGCCAGCCTACTGATTAAGGTACTATCAAAACTATTAATACGATTCTTCTGCTACATATATTTCCCATCTTGATTGCTTTGCAGTTTCTTCTCTTTTCAAAAGAACCAGTATTTTAATTATGCATTGACTAACAATTACGCTCTTCTGGTAACTAGGTGCCACCTGCAAATTGATTCATCTGGAGGTGCAAATTAATCAATGGGTTAGATTTCTGGAGCTTCTTGTCTCTGCAAGGCCTTCACTCAAACATCAGTCATCATGCGTCGACAGGTATTAATTTCTGTGCTACACATGCATGCATGCAATCCTCACGGTGCAGATTAGTACTACCTCTGTAAACTAATATAAGAGCATTTAGATCACTAAAATAGTAATCTAAACGCTCTTATATTAGTTTACGGAGGGAGTATTACTTTCCTCTGGTGGCATGTTATGTTAGAGATGTCTTAGTTGGCTCTTGAATAAAATTGTCACACCTTCAAGATTTAATTATGTGTTCATTAGCTCCAAGGATCAAGCAACGATGGCTTAATATTAACACACACACACACACACACACACACACACACACACACAAAAAAAAGGATGCAACTATTGCTGAAATTAATTAACCCTTTAAATCTTGAGGATTAATAATAATATTACAAGAGCTAGGAGGCTTAGCTAGAAGGGGACGGACCCTCCTCCAACCGTCATCAGATTAATTATGTGCCCCATCCCCTGGATGCAGGACCTTGCTGTCCTCCTTTCTCTAGGAGGTCATGACTTGGCCCTCCTCCAAACGCCACCAGTTTAATTAACATCTCTGGTTCTCTGCCTCCTCTCCCAGCTAGCTCAGCACTGCCACTGCTATGCTCCGGTCTCTGGCAGGTGGCTGCTAGCACTGACCTTCAAACCAGAGCATACTGGATTTGGGTCGCACACCAATGATGACCTGCCGCCTGCCATGGCCGACAGTACGACTGGTGGTCCATCTGATTAACACATATACACTGGAACTATGCTCCTGGGTTACTGTGGGCCTACATGAGTGCCTAGAGTCCATAACTCCATATAATTAATAGGTGCACCTTTTGCATATATATTGCTAGACGAAAACTGTTGTAGTGAGTGACCTCAACTAATTACCATCAACTTACTAATGCAGAGGATTTATGTGGACAACATTGAAGAAGCGGTGCAACAGTTAATCCCTTATCTGGAGGATACAAGCAGTCCTGCACACAAGGCCATCTATTTTGATGGATGGGATGGGTTGGCTGCTTCGGCGGTGCTTAGAGCTATAGCTGAAGACCCTCCACCATCTTTGCTGAAGATATTCAACAAGATCATCCACATCGATTGCTCCAGGTGGAAAAGCCGAAGAGCTCTCCAGAGGACAATTGCACAAGAAGTTCTTCCTCATCGGGTAATGCATATTTTTGATAGGCAAGATGAAGAAGATGATTTCTGTGGGATAGACGAAGGCTCAAGAGCTGAAATAGGATTCATTGGGAAAGAGATCCTTCAAGTCCTTATGGCACACAGATGTTTAGTGGTCTTTCATAACGGAAGCAATGATGTGGTTAATTTAAGCGCTTTTGGCATTCCTCAACCAGAGTTTTTTGGTACTAAGATATTGTGGTCATTTCGGGAAAGGCTTCGGCTCAACCCAGGAATTAGTGAGAAGGTGGATGATTCCAATCTTTTTCTTTATGCACACAATGATGAGCTGTGGAATTTTCTGCTTAAAATAGAGGCTAGAGAAATTGTTGGGTACACAAATAAGCTTGGTGAAGCAGTTGAAGAGTGTTGCTTGTATTTGCTGTCATTAAATTCTCAGGGAGGCAACATCATGGACTATGACTGGGCTACCCATGCTTCTAACTATTGGATCTGTGATGGGATTATAAAAGGAGATCAGGATGATGAAGCATGGGAGGTTGCAGCTGCTCTGCATCAACAAATAAATATAAAGGATTATTCATCTAATTCACTGCCCACTTTTGGTGATGAACTGAACACACCTCTTGAAAGGTGGATATTATCCAGGTATAACTCTGTTTTGTATCCATGGTCAACATCCTTTTTTCTTGCTGGAACCGCAAGCAGATCTGATCCTCCATCAAGACCCTTACCTAATGACACGTTTCATCAATCGAACATGCTTCATGTGCTCAAGTTATGCCGTTGCACCTTCTGTTTTTCTGCACCTCCTTTCGGTTGTTGCCGCAACTTAAGGTTCCTCGGATTAGATGGCTGCAAGGATCATCGAGTAGAAGAAGCTGAGAAGCAAGATAGACCAGCAATGGAATGTTTTCAGAGCCTATGGGTACTAGACATATGCCGCACAGATTGGGAATTTGCCTTGTCACCGGAGATAACAGAGCAGATTGATCGAAACATTAGAGAGGTACACATAAAGAAGGGAAGGATTTGGCAACACAGTTTTACATGGCGACAATTGCAAAACCTTCACAAGCTTCGAGTAATTGAGCCTACGTCACCTTGGGGGACAGGCCAAAATGATGAATTCACCAATATGGTTAAGTTGGAGTTCCTTGACCTATCTGGGGATAGTACAATACAAGCTTTGCCAAGTATGTCAGGGGCTACTAGCCTCAAGATTCTGATTCTCGATGATTGTGTTAAACTGGAAAGTGTGGGCCCGGAAGGACTACCGCCATCACTTGAATCCTTCAGCTTAGATTGTTGTACAAGAGGGGATCAGAATAACAATGCTCAAATTTCTCATATCTCTTTGGCTGGTTGTGCAAGATTGGTGAACTTCAAGTTGCGTGGATCGCTTCCAAATCTTGAGGAGCTAGATCTATCAGGTACATTGGTCAAAACACTTGACCTGAAAGATAAGGTGGTGCAGGCCCCGTGCCTCAAGCAAATTATTCTGTTGGGATGTCTGCAGCTCCTTGCCATATTATGGCCTAAAAATGGTATGCCAAAACATACAGTGTTACGCATTGATTCTTTAGTCTGTCTTGTTCAAGCAGAACTTCTTCAAGCATATGCTACTATAATGGACATAAGGTTTCTTCAGACCTTGGTATTAGAGAGTAATGTTGAGTTCTGTTGGAAGAGTAGTAGGTTTCATCTAAATTTATGTGTCCCATGTACCAACAAAGTTTAGGAGCAAAGCTATAAGAAGACTACCACTGGTAGTAGTGGGCATATAATGGGTCCTCCTCGGCTGAAGTCATTAATACCCAATGCTTACATCACCTACATGGATGTCGTTGTTGACAACATGACTATTGATGATTGCTATAATAGTGCACCGCAGTTTCAGCCGTTGGGCTCCCATGTGGAGATTGGTGATGGAATTAGTTTCACTAGAATGGAGAGCACACAAGTAGTGAAGGCTATCATATTTGTGATGGACAAGGCTGAGTCGTTGCATGCGCACGACAATTCTTCCATCAGCACTGTCACCCCTGAACATATGATGTCCATGGGAGGTGAGAAACTTATATGGAAACATCTGAAATCTTGTCACATTGTGAGATGTCCCAAGTTGCACACAATCTTCAATATTATCTGGGGATACAACAAATTTAGAGAACTAGTAAACTTTTGGGCAGCTGATCTCCCGATGGCCCATTGCATTTGGAGCAGACAAAGGGCACGGGATATTGAGGACCCTATTTCCTTTGCGAAACTGCAGATCATACACATGTCCTCCTGCCCGAGGCTCACATTTGTGCTCCAGTTTTCCAGGTTATACACCTTGAGAAGGTTGGAAACCCTCCACATCGTCTTTTGTGGTGATCTAAGGCAGGTGTTCCCCGTGGAGCCAGAGATTCTGACAAGCATAGCTACAAGCTACCGTAAAGATGTTCTAGGTTTCCCAAACCTGAAGCATATCTACTTCCATCAGCTCTTCAAGCTGGAACATATATGCCAGGCCAAGATGTTTGCTCCCAAGCTTGAGACTATCAGGGTCAGGGGATGCTGGGGTCTCAGGCGCCTCCCCGCTGTTGGCCGAGATAGCCGCCCTATCATGGACTGCGAGAAGGACTGGTGGGAGAAGCTGGAGTGGGATGGACTGGAGGCTGGCCACCACCCTTCCCTCTTCTGGCTGCGCCACTCGGCGTATTCCAAGAAGCCCCTGCCTAGAGTCTCAGTTCTACGGTGAGCTGACCAGGCGCTATTCAGGTACACACAGTCATGTGTTCTCTCTTATTTTTGATCTTGTTTCATGCATCTGTCATAGTATATTCATGGTGCACAGAAGAGAGAGAGAGAGAGAGAGAGAGAGAGAGACCTTGGGTTATTAAATACCCTGTTACATACTCCCTCTGTCCGTAGTCTCAAAAACGTTCTTATATTATGGGACGGAGGGAGTACTATCTAAATAATTGCATACACATA